CGCCTTTTTGAGCCTGCACGAAAGCTAAATGAACATTTCAGCCAAAGCTAATGAACCAACGTCAAAGGTTTCGTAGTTAGCGGGATTGGAAAAGAATAGTGTATGTGCTAGTTGACTCGCTCATGAGGAAAAAGCAGAACAAGCAAAATAAGACTTTGTTGCATGCGAGAGGCCACGATTTTAGAGTCTCCAAGGTAGGCCAAATATTAGCAGCAGGAAATGAAAGATAGTGATGCGAGGGAGACCCTGAGTTTTGGATTACTCAAGCAACCTTGATCCTTGATTACCCTATCTCACAACATTCTGAAGCAATACTCGTAAAGGTTGTCCATTGCGGTCTGCTGTTCCCAACAGAGAGCTCCGATTCTCATGAGTGGTCGCGGAACGCGCTTACCCTGCGGAATATGCATACTAGAACTCTCAATCCTGAAAGACTCTAAAGGGCGACTGAAAACAAATCTTGGGTGATGCTTGCTAATCCGTCAGTGACTAAAAACCAAAAGGCATTGCCAGAATTTTTTCAGTATGGGATATCTTATCGCAGTGCATGGAACCATCACTGTTAGGTCCACACGTCCATGCGATAGACGATAGAATTGTTGTGGGAAGCGGACTGCCACCATTTGGGCCAAATAAGGTCGTCTGCAAGTGTCTTTTGCAACAGTGCCACAATTCCCTCAAAAGCATTTTCACCTTAGCAGTGGCTTGTCTGCGAGACACAAGAGCGGCGAATGTACCTTGAAAGGTTTTCGGAAATTCGGAACGCTAAGAACCAACGTGGTGATAGAGTAACTCAAAGGGACTATCTGCGACGACTTATGATTCAGTGGGAAAGTGCAATGGACAACAGTCTCGTGCCAAGTTCGCGGGGCAAAGCTGAAGTTGCTTGTTGCTAAAGGCGCTGAAATGCAAAATTCCTCCGCGACCGCTGACTCCGCCCCCACGCTTGGCTATCAAAGCCTGCCCAACAACCCCCTCCTCCACCGCGGCGAAAAACGACGCTGCCGGGCAAGAAGGATGAAATGGATGCTTCCGGACGAGTAGCATAAAATTAAAGCACTACTATCTTTTACGGGGTCACGAGGTTCATTCTAAGGACTCGGCAGTCACTCGCTGACAACTAACTCGCCAAAACCGCGTCGTTTCGCCTTTTACTCGTACAAACTGCTTGATGCTATAGAGGGCCTTACTAGAGGAGTTTCAAACGTTGTCTTCCAAAGTTGCTTCACTGATGAGTTCTTTGGCAACTTATCTTTCATATCTCAACAGTCATACCGCAGATCGTGAATCCAAAGATTGGCAGATGAGGCGTATCCTCCCTCTGTCACGATGCACGCTACAGTTCTTTCAGTTCAGTCATACTACTTACTACTTAACACGTTGACAACCACGTCAGACAATGGTGGGCGACAGCCAGTCTGTGTCTCGTGGGACGATGTCAAGACAATGCTGTCTGACAGTATTTTGCTCCAATAAGAAGGTTGTGCAAACAACCAAATTCTTCGAAAACATGTCCCTAAATAATATCACAGTCGCTTGGCACAAACTGCCTGGCCAGACCACCGAATTCTCTCAAAACCTGAATACTGTAGATCGACCTCCTGAACAAGAATTATTCGCATTGCGTGTCACGAAACTGCCTGGCGCCCGCCAGTAGAGGCGCCAGGGCGCCAAATACTCTTAATCACAAATTCGCTGAAAACTTCCCTCCTGAGGTAGTCGGACTCCCTGAATATGAATGTCACTCTGCTCTACGGGGACTTTCGTGCCAAATGTGATATTCGTGTTCAGGAGGTCAAGCAAACCTTGAAACAAGTTTTTAGCGAAGATGATTGAACACACGCCTGTCTTTTGCCGTAGCGCGGGCGCTAGCACTTTACGTGCCTAGCGCCCGCTGCTACAAGCGACAGCACGATATTCACGGTTGGGAGATCCAACCACCCCTACACGCGAATCTTATGCAAAATCCGCCTTCAGGAAAAAAACCAGGTAAAAATCTGGTGCGATTTTGGAGGACTGGGGCACCAAAAGGTATAAATTGTGTGAAGGCAAGATTCGTATAGGTCTGAGGCATTTCTTGACTCATTTTGATCAGAGTCATTCATTTGTTTGGGAATTATCAACATCAACGAAGAAAAATTTGCCTCCTACGCGCGAGTCACGAAGAAAATGGCTCGTCGTCAACGTGTTAAACTTCGTTCGAGAATTCGTTTCCTTTAATGGAGGTTTTCCCCTTTGTTGATTGATCAGAAATCCACTCGCTTTAACTTCACTGGAAGTGAAAGATAATGATTTACAAGAGTATGTGCTTAAGGCGACTAATCGAGTGCCGCTGTCGGAACTGGGGCTCTCCGAAAAGGAGATCTACACTCTTTGTGCCAGATTTGCTCCTATCGCTGCCAAGGTGGGTGGATCTCCAGTACAGCTGTCAGCAAACAAATTCTTTTCAATTTGCGATAAGATCTCTCTGCTTCAGCACTGTTACGGTTCAAAAGTCGAAGAACAGTTTCTGGAGAAGTGCCGTGGTTACGATCAGGATTGCGCTCAATTCCAAGCTAAGGTAAGTGCATCACTGATTTTACACAGCCGTTTCTTCAGCATGAAGCCCATGTTTTGTGACACGTTTTGTTTTCTGGCTAGGGACACATAATGCGTTAGGGATTTCAGTCGATCCGCACGAACCCCCCCCCCCTTTTTTCCCCTTTTAGGGGGGTTGGTACGACCCCACCCCCTAGTTTCCTCCCCTGACAGAGCTGTCGAGCGGGTGGGGGGGGGGTGTGGTAATTAGCACACATGAAACAGGAAAAACACGAGAAGTCAGTAACCTCTCTCACGAACCGGAAGCCAAATACGATCCTCCGCTCCTTTCCAACGTCCCTGTAACAAGCAAAATCAACATTAAAGGAAGAACCCGCGATTACTCGCCATCTCAGATGGTGGATTAGGGGGTTCCATATAGACGACAAGGGGTTGAGTAACTCGACTGTGAACAAAAAAAGCACAAAAACATGCCACCTGCCCTAGATAGAACCCCATTTCGATCCCAGTTTGTACGTGCCCAATCAACTCTATCTCCAAAACTACGCCCTCATATGCACGGCTGATTCACCGATAAGATTTCTACGATCGTACAAGTGGCGATTATCATGCTTTTTCGTCCTGCAATCTCATTTTTCACTGGAAGTCGGTCATTAGGGGCGGAGTCTGGAGGCGGAGTCACTGGAAAAAAGGAGGAGCCACTGAACTTATATTGCGCTACAGCTCCCTCCGACAATAGAATTTTTCGCCACGAAACGATATAAGGCTTTTCGTCGCGGAACACTCTAACCTCCTGACGCCATATTTTCAACTTCGATACCTGATCGCGGACCGTGCCTTTAATCAACTATCAAAAAAATTTTCTCGGCCCACATACGACCCCCTCTCACTGCGAGCCAATTCCCCGCCATTACTGGAGAATCGTCAACAACGATGTGCCCTGTTTGTGGCTCAATGTTGTGC